AGTTATTATGCACATAGAATATTCATTGTGTTCTTGGTTTTCTGTACTCTTTATCTCTTCTTGAATGTTGGATGTAATCGAGAGAAAATGGCGTTGACGATGATATGCATGTTTGTTTGCTTCTTTATTTCTTTGCTAAAACTCGATCCGATTTCTAGCTAATGCCAATCAAACGAATGAAGTGTTTTCTTGTTGAACTGTGTAAAAAAAATTAAAAAGTTGTTCGGAGATATTATATTTTTCTTATATTGACCGAGATCCTGGCCAAAATATGGAGGTATAATATGATGCCGGACATAAATTGTGACAAGAAAGAAATCGCGTGTTTGTGTTATAATGCGGGGGAAAAAGTACCATTGCATATGATGCACTCGACTCTGAACTAAAAGTAATACACAGCAAACTCTGAATTCCTAACGATAAACAGATCTTGCTTTAAAAAATGATAGAATTATTAATTTATTATTTTAAATATACGCTCTCTGGCCTTTTAAAATTATCTAACTTCTAGATACAACTTTAACGGAAATTATTTGTATAAAATAAAAATTAACACATGCATAATAAAACGATTAATAAAGTGGATTCTTCATGAAAATGATGGCAGAATTATTGCCGATTATAATCATTAAATTGTAGAATTTATTTCGGTACTCCTCATTTGTACTAATTATGATTTCATTTGAGCAGATTTTTTTTTCATTTTGGAGTTAGCTGGATATATTTTTTTTATTTTTAAAAAGATTAAAAAGTGGGGATTACCTCACCTTAGATATACACAGTATGTTTTTAAAGCCAAACATAAAAAAAATATTTCTAATTATACATGTATCTTTACTTATAAAATATGAGGATATCAATTTTGGTTGGATATCTGTAGCCTACACTGTTATGAATTCCTTCCATGATATCGCATATTTTCAGTCAAAAACTACTCAATAAACAACAAGATATTCCTAAGGGAAAGCGTTACCCTCATTCGTAATGGCGATTACTTAATAAATGTTTTCAATTTTAATAAAAAGGACCAGATAAAGGAAAAATATATACTCTATGTGCTTTATATACATGCGGTTTTGTGTTTTGTTACTTAAAATATGTCCAAATGAAATAACAAAACTCTATTCAAATGATCCTGACACCGGTTAAACTAATGACATTAGTGGCGGATCTGGTTCGTGGATTGATTGAGTCGCAACATCTGAATCTATGTATTTATTAAAGTTTCAAATCGTTGGTCGATAATGACACGTCAGAATTTTTAAATCATGGTGAATTACTAAATACATCTACGTACAATGTTACAAATAAGAAAATGGGAATGGATATTATAATAAATAGAAAGAACATAGAACGTGTTTTATCGCTCTTGAAAAATGCAAATAACTCATGTTCTTTATGGAGCTCGAGGTTTGACAAAGATTTTCCAAGATAACAAATTTTCTTTACATTTCGAATTTGTATGCTTAAAATTTTAATTATTATCCGAACACTTGTTTTTTTGTAATAACACTTTTTTACCCAAAGATATAGTCATTATAAAAAGAACATGACTGTATAATTATAAAATGAAAATAATCTTCAATAACATTCAAGGAACATATTTGATACAAACTCCACTTCTTAAAAGATTATTCATGGGCATATCTAACATTTTTGAAAATTCAGATTATGAGTTAAATAGCCTAATCTATGCAATATGAATTTTGTATGTATATATGTACAAGTAATTAAAAGGTTTGCTTCATAGCAATATTGAACATGTGTATCGATGGCATCAACCAGGTCTTGTTTTTACTTCGAGCATGACGACGAATAAATATAAGAAAACATATGATGAATATAAACTTCAAGAAATTTTTGTTTTATTACCGTGTTCAAATTTATTATTGTCAAAATCTGCATTAAAAATAAATATGCATGTGTAGCCAAGTCCCAGCTAATTAAGTTCATCTTGTACATCTTCTTGAATTTGGTCTTACAATATCGTTACAAATCAGTTAAATTGCAATCCTGATTTCGATAGACTATTATATTAAATTCTTAGAAAATATTTCAGGCACATAGCATCAGTAGGGGCCTGCTCCCTTTTTTTCCAAACATAACCTACTTCTATTGTAAATGTCCACTGAAAAGCTGGTTGCCCCCCCCCCCCCCCTTGTTGTAGGATAGTTTAAATCAAAGTAATTTGGTATTATAATGTTTCGAAAACAAAGTGGAAGGTCCCCCCTCCCCCACGAAATAGGATTTTCGAGTTTGGACACTACCTTTTTTGTTGCTTGTCAAGGTTTTTTTCAGGTAGGTTGTCAAAAAAAAAAAAATCTGGCTGACCCCCCCCCCCCCCCCCATACTACGTGCCTGTATTTTGTAATTTTAAATTTTCTTCACTCCTTTATATGCATTTTAACTATTCAAAATAGACTACCGCCGGTACATCAAAAACAACATAAAATTAAGCTTTAATTCACATAAATAAAACGACTGTGTAATTTTTCTACAGTTTCATGGAGTTTTATGAAATCACCACACGTTGGTCAAAAGTTAAGACTACATGTACTACTCTGTTACATACATATATCAAAAAGTGAGATACGCGTTTCATTATTAAAATTTCAGTTGCGCAATTATTTGCTCGATTTTCTTTACTGTTGACTTCCAAAAAGTTTTCGGTCAAATTCCACAACCCAGATGATCGCAACATTGCTTCAAAATCTTTGTATGAATTGCCAGTAATCTTTAATCAAAAGGTATTATTGGTGTGTGAAATAGCTATAAATCGATTAGCGTACAGGTGTCTTTCGTTCCAGAATCAGCAGGGAGGGATCTCTGTATGAAAAGGTCACGCATGCACATCCCTGATTATTACCAAAAGTGAGTGGTGGAGGAGAAGAGTTTGATTTGTTGTTAACTCTCCTGTATTATATCACATGTTGTTATTATTTATTTTAATTTAGGCCTATATGTCATTGTTTTAAACTTTCAAAAGAAATTGCTATATAGAGGAATGACCTACTAAAAAAATCCAACAATTAAACACACAACTGTAATATGCACCCACCCTTTTTTTACGTTATCTATACAGTCATGTATTCTTTGCAGAATGTTTTTTATTCGGGAGTATTCATACATGTATACTACAAGTTTAAGATTGTGTGCCTGTCAATTTATCTACATGTATAATATATGTTGTACATATTCTTGAGAGTCTAGCGGAATTTTAAAAGAATCTTTTTTAAAAAGATTACTAACACGTTACTCCTCCTTTTGTATTTATAGTGTGTTTCAAGCATCCAAGCCACATTGACCTGTTTTCTACTGAATATTAATGAAATGTGCGCAATGAGGATGCGTTGCGTATTATGTCGATGTTGTATTCTCACTCGTGCAGTTTTCGTTTTTATGTTTGTGTAATTTTCTCACTATATCGTGTAAATATTTTGTTGATTGTGCAGTTTTTCAATAGTTTGTGTAAATTTCAATAACTTCGTGTATATTTTCCTCACTTTGTGTAAGTTTTTACTTACTCGTGTAATTTTTGTTTAAGGTCGTGCAGAAAATAATTTTGAAGCAATCGGCGTGCCATACTAGGGAATCCTTTTTTATTTAGCGATATACGGGAGAAGTATAGATCTCTATAATCAAGAAATCCATTATTGTTTCTTGTATTCATGTATTCGACTTGTATATCATTATATTGTTCATAATTCCCAGTTACTTTACTTATTTTTAATTCCCATAGAAACAATTATTATTCCCAATATCAATTGATACCAGTTTGCAGACATCTAAACCCAATCTTAACCCTACCAAAAATTCCTCATCGAAGATGCTGTTGTAAAAGAATTAAAATAAAATTTACATTATTTCATTACCAACTGCATTATCTTACTTTGAAGGCACTTAACCGTTTGTGATTTTCAGGATTATAGATATGCATGGGTGTCGAACCAACAGAGCTTCGCAGTGTTGCTTGATATACTATTGTACATAATTTCCAAAAAAAACTAATTTATAATATCCGCGTCGCATTTTTTGGTTAGTATCACCTTAACATTAAACTGTTTCTGGTGGCTGTACACTTACATACACATGTAGTTCTTCGACTGAAAACTGTCTCCCTTGCAGATATACATTTGTCGATTTTCTTGGAATTGGGGGGGGGGGGGGGGGGGAGTCGCTAAAATATTTGAAAGGAACAAAGGGAGATAAACGCTAAAATATTTTTATCCGATAGTGAACAAACTTTCAAGGTAAACGCTATTAGCTTATGTATAGAGTTAAGAATGCAGTGACTTACTTTTAAACCTTCCTCCCACTAAAACAAATTTACAGGTATTATTTTTATCATAGTTTGGTCATAATTCATTAATTATTATCGTTAGGCATTTTCAAACATATTAATTTAAGTTTAAAATGCCTAATTCAACAACTCAACCTTCTTCCTTTCTCAAAACATACGCATATAACTAAATGTCCCCCTAATGTTCTGCATTTGATTTTCAAAGAATCGACTTCATATCCATGTCTGAAAGTTTGAAACTTACTGTAGCCTAACCCTAGGGAACAATTTATGTTTCCCTTTACCCATACATGCTATGTACTAATTTCTACCTCATCTGGGCCTAAGGCACAAGGTTTGTTTGTTTGTTTAACACCCCTTTGAGAATTTTTCACTCATATTGAGACGCCACCACTTGTCGTTGGAGGACTGCAAATTTTAGACCTGTACTCAGCAGTACGACCTTTGAGCAGTGAGGGATCTTTTTCCTGCCAGAACCTATGTAACATGGGACCTCGGTTTATACGGTCTCATCCTTAAGGACCTGTAAGCGTCAATTCATTATAAGCGTGTTTCCTGTAAGTGTGTTTTACTGTATTTACTATTTTGTAATTATCTCTCCTTGAAAGGGACAAGCAGCTTTCATTTGAAAGGTTAGTCTTTATCATTGCTTGAGATACTGTGCAATTATTTCATTCATAACAAATAATTATTTCTTCTGTAATAAACATTTAATTACTAGTACACATTGCTTTGGCGCCTATGAACTAGCATCTGATTGTGAGTAGAGTTTCAGTAAGAGTTCTGCACTAGGATTTTTCTTTTCCAGGTCTAAGGATCCTAGGGGTACTTTTGAGCTTGGTAACAGTGGTGGCCGAGCATCATCTGTTTTCATGAAGTTTTTGAGGGCCTCTCTTGCAGCTTGTTCCTCTGCTATAGTAAGGGTCTCTCCAGGGGCTGAAATTATCAAAATTTGTGACTGTTTCAAGAACTTACTCCCAAAGAACCATGACCTTATAAAAATCTGTCCACAAGTACTGAAAAATCCAAAATTTGCACAGAATGTTCATATACTCAAAATCAATAACTTTATATTTAAATGTTTCTTAGATATAGACAAGTAACACATCAAAGACATAAGCACAGTTTTAGTGGTGTAATCTGCCAAGGGTTTGTGGGGAGTAAAGACTAAAGCAGACACTGAAAACCCTTGGCTTGTGAAGATGCATTTCATAACATGACCCATTGAAAAACATGAAAAGCATAAAAATTTTAGAAATCTGTTCAATGCTTTACACCAAATACTCAGTATAATAAATGTACTTACATCTTCCTATGAGTTCTTTATTTGAGTAGATTCCCACATGGTAGACAGACATAATAGATGAACAGCCTGTCTGCCACAATAACCTAGAAATAAGAACATAGTCAGGTGGAGAATTCTATTACAAGAGTTCTGTGAATTCGAATACACAAGTTTCTTGGGAGTGTATTTTCTTTCTACACCAGCTCTTCTACCCTTAAAAAGGATTCATATACATGTATATACAGTGCATGTGCAAAAAATTAAGATTTGATATTCTGATTGAGTTGATATGTACATAAACGTTTCTTTAACAAGCTGAAGAATTTAATTTTCTTTCCTTTCAAATTAAATCCAATTCCTTAATATCAAAGAAAAATTTTACTTCTTTCAGTGTCATACATTCAGGAACAAAATATATATCCAGCCACAAGACATTCTTTACACAATACATGTTTCAACTGTATGTTAAATTAATGACAGAAGTTCATATATACCTAGACTCTGGGGTTGCCATTCCCCTGGATTGAAGAACAGCACTCAGTAATCCCATAGGGTTATCTAATTTCCACATTTCATTGATGTCTTTCCCTACCAGACGAGGTATGATGAAGTCCACCACTAAAACACCAGCTCTCTCCTCATTCTAACATTGAAAAAAAAATCCATGTCAAACAACAAAATATAAAAGACTCAACAGGTGAAAAAATAGTGCACCTTTAAATATATTATACATGTATGTGTTTTTACTGATGAAAAAAAGCCTTGTCTAAGATATTCAAATTGGTATAAAGTCATTTATCAGATTTAAAAAATTAGAAAAAAGTTAAAATAATTCTTGATATACAGCTAGGATAAAGCATTTGTATCGGGTCATTAAAAATAAGCAAGTTTTCAAATTAAAATAACTACATGTACTTCTAATTATCTACAATAAGACAATTTAACACTTAATAATAGAAAGAAAACATTGACAAGAATGATTAGCCTCTTTCCATTAAAGAGAACAACTGTGTTCAATGTATAAAATCAAGGATGATACAACAAACTGAATTTTATAGCTTAAATTAAACATTGAATCACTATACAAACACTACCTGACTTCTTCCTAGTGCTGCAACAATAGCCAGGAATGTGGTACACATCTCTTCTTCTGTTGGGGGATAGTACTGAAAAATAATTCAAATACTGTTGATCACTTTTTATTTGTGAGAACTTTATCTTTTTTTTGTAATTACATGGGATGGTCTGCTTGCCAAAAAATTTATTCTTGGGTATTTTTTTTATTAGTACAGATTTAAACAATAACAAGAATTCGAGAAAAATTTGTCTCACTTATAAAAACCAAATACCTATCTCGTGAAAATTTGATCATCTACAGTATTCAGACTGTAAAAAAAGCTAAAATGGCTGGTATACAGCACTACATACATGTACTATAATATAATTCTACAGTATTACATACTGTAAAATAATCTACAGTATTACATACTGTAAAATAATCTACAGTATTACATACTGTAATATAATCTACACAATTATATTCTGTAATATAATCTACACTATTACATTCTGTAATAGATATATAATCTACACCACCACATGTATGATACATAGCAGTGGCAAGAGTGGAATGATTCAAAATTTTACAAGTTCAGCTTCATCCCCATGTGTAAAGTAGAACGTTTACAGTTTCACTCACTATTACAGTAATTACCTTATCTTTCCCTTGTATTTAGTTTTCATTCACATCTTTGATACTTTATTATGCTGAATTGTACATATTACTCTATTCTGAATTTGTCATTTTTGTATGAAAGTTAAATCATACCTGAAACACATAATTACCTTGGACTGAATTAAGTCTGTTATTCCTATTAACTTTCCAACATGGGCCAGCAGCTCTTGATTCATTAAGTAATCACAGATGCCACTAGAAATAAAATAAAACTCAATGGTTCAACATCCTATCACATTATCCAGATTATCCACTACCAACATGTAATTTTATATATTTGCAGCTATTTTATTCATTCGAGTAGTTATAAAGCTTTTTTTTTAACAATCCTATACTGTATCAAATTTTATTTTGTGATACTTAACATCAAAGGTAATATATCAAATTCAATTTGATCTCTGACTTCTAAGTATTACCTTGACCCTGAAATGACATGAAGCCTTGAACTTCACAACATACATATACAATATTGAATTTTCTATCATATAATATTGAGGGTCCAATAGTAATCTAAGCACTAATTGTATAATCTGAACAAGATTAGTTCAAAGTTTATACCATTGCAGAGAGCCAATTTTGACACATCATGACAACGTGTACTTTTATAATAATTTTTCTTTATCACCCCTCCTAAAATTCAAAAAATAATTGGACAAACATACCTTATACCTTCCTCAAACATGTATGGAAAATTACACCTCAGGTATGCCTTTAAATATTTCTCAACAATTTTCTTTCCTACAAAATACAGTTATTTAATTACATATACATGCACTTAAGTAAATTGAATTATTCTGATTAAGAAAGAAATCAGCTCTGTTCTCTATTAATTTAAACTAAAATAAATGAAAAATATTAATTTACAGCAAAAAAGACAACCATAATATACTTGTATACATGTAATACAATGTAACTATACACTGCCTAATTTTATTGTTCTGTCAATTTGATGATGTCCTTTAATTGCAATCCATATTTATCTTTAAGAATTTTCCTAAATTAACTGCACATTGCAAAAACATGTTCCGAGGGTGTCCAGTCAACTTGTATACAACCCGACTTGTACACAAACTGACTCATACACAAGGAGTCAACTCGTATACAAAACTGCAGTCAACTCATACACAAGGGTTTCCTGTGTATAAAATGAGGATTTTCAAACATAAGGTTTTCAAAATATTCAAACAATTGAAAGACATTGTAAAATTTTAATTGTATATATGTATTATTGTATAAAATTTCCATAAAACTTTTCAAATTAAGAAAGTAAACTTTAATTTAAAAAAACCTTTACAGTTCTGCTACAGAAAATACAAGACCCTCGCACCATGGTGAACTTTTAAAAAAGAAGAAATTTGGAGGTGTTTTCCAGGCATGGATTACCTCATAATTAGTGGGTACCATGCTTGTGTTGCTTTAACAACAATTGTTTGAATTCCTCAGAAGGAAAGTTAAAATGTTTAACTATAAGTTTATTTATTAACAATAAATATTTCTGTTCTTCAAAATCTGAGTGTCCTTAATTTTTTTCAAAATTCTACATTTACACAACCTTATAAGAGTCTTGTGTATGTGTACGAATTTGTAACATGTTCAAACTACACCTTGTGTACGAGTTGAGTTCAGTTCAGTTTGTACGAGTCCGTTTGTGTACCAGTTGGGTTGTGTACAAGTTGACTGTAAATACCGGGTATACTACACCAAGATATAATGAATGAAAGTATTAAGCATGGGGTAGTGTACAGTATAGCTTCCTGCTAGAATGAAACTACTAGTTAAATCATTCAACTCAATCCACAGAGTATTGGACTATCATCCAAGAGGTCCCTAGTTCAATCCCATGCAAAAGTTTTTACTTATTGTGCCCCTGTTGGGACCTAGGGGCTATGTGGTGGCTGAAAATGATTTAGACTGTACCTTCACTTGACAGCTCCTCATTACATCTGGCTCCCAAAACTTCTGTTGCTACTCCAACTTTTTCTCTCTCCTCTATTTCCTTCTCAATGGATGATCTGTAACATAATCATAATATCAATCAAATAACATGTATCTACATGTATATCGACACATAATATAATTAATTTTTCAAGTACTTCAGTACTTTTTGTACTAATAAACTCATATGGGAAACTCATTTTTTTTGGGGGGGGGGGGGGAGGGGTTACTTCTAATTTTTACCAAAAATTTTTGTCAAAAATGAAGGTTCTGCTTGAACTTACTTGACGGTGAAAGCTTCCTCCAGTATTTCACTATCAAACTCCTCCCCAATCCTTTTGCCAAATGCAAAAAGCTCAGCATCATAATTCCTAAAATCAGAGTTTCTGTATTTATAAATCAATTATGCTAAGGATTATCTTTATTGTGTGATTTTAAGTATATGACCATTCTTTAATTTGTGACAAAACCCTTCAAGTTTTAAGAAAATGAGAATAAAGCAAAAACTGTGAAAGTAAACATGAAAGAAAAATGGTTTATTTCCTGTTCCCTTACCAACAGCCATATTCTGATGGATGTCTGATAGGTTCTGGACCAATTCCCTCTCTTCTTTTGACTTGTTCTTTTAGAAAAGGAGGTAAACTCTTAGAATTCCTCAAGTAACGGCAAGGAGCTTAAGTAAAAAAACAACAAGAAAAGAAAATATGAATATCTTCTAGAATGCTTACTGTGAAATGCAAATGGCAGTATAGCAGGGCTTTAGTGTTTGAAGATTTACTCTACTGCAAGAAATGTAACCATTCCAGTCCTGGTATTTTTTAAGTGCAAGTGCTCTTATAGCAAGCGACGCAAAGCGCCACTTGCGTAACGAGCTCTATAGACAACTTGTATGAACAGAGGAAATTCGAGTTGAAATCTGCACATTGTTCAAAGAAATTTTTATCGGTCCACGTGAAAAATTTTAAATTCCCAATAATCCTTTGCAGTGCATAGCAACATGGTGGCTTAGACATAGCAACAAGAATTTAGTGCATTTTCCATGCAACAAAAGTATCGTTTGCATCCTGGCTTGTAGTTGTATGGGTCTAGGCGTAGAAAAGATTGTGCTGAATTATTACCAATCAATTATCTTGTTGACCAAAATTGACCTTTATAATTTCATTCAAAAGTAACTGTGTGGTCACAAATCAATTGCTTTATATACCCCAACACTTTTAGAACTTTGAGTACAAAGTCTCTAAAGGAGACGTAATTTGATGAGCAATTTTTACATGCATTGTTTTCAGAAGAGTTCAAGGTTGAATACTACCACTGCACCAAAGTGCTACTTTTTGTGCATGCTGAAAAAATAACACATTTTTTAAAAAAAAGTGTGGTAAAATAGCTAAATCAAGCTATTCTGAATAGCTTCATAAAGCTATATAGTTAAATCAAGAGATTGTGCCAGACCTGGTGATGTACAGTATGTGTAAAAATCAAACTGAGGAGCCGTGACACGTGAAAATTGTGTGTGATGTACTTTGGAAAAAATGTGGAAAACATTTTTATACACACCATCATTGTTAATTTTAAGAGATACCGCCAAAAAGGCATTTCTTGTAATGATATTCGGTCGTAAACTAGAAAACCACCGCAGCAAGGGCGCAGCCATCTTGTTTATGAACAAAGAAATTATTAACTCGTGCCATAATTAAAATTTTACTTTTATGTAAAATACATCTAATACATGATGAATTCGTTGTTAAAGTTACAGTTAAATTTAAATTTTACCTATTTGATCTAGCGATATTGCATAAGTAATCCTACGACATTCTATCATGGTCATAACACGGAGATTACGAATATACATAGAATGAGCTACTAAACTGTTTATACTTTCACTTTCAAAAACAAACTTGGAAAATGCACTTGACACGAGTGCTTCAGTATTTTAAAAAGAGACCCAAGTGGCCAGGATTAGTCAGAGCAGGGTAAAACAACTTATTTTTTAGATTACTATTACGATAAACCACTGATACAGGTAATCTGAATGCATGAAAGGGGTCGGGATGCCATACATGTGACAGAACTGAAAAATCACAACTGGAGAATGGAGATTTGAAATTTTTCAGCTGGAGTTTGGGTCTCAAAGCTGGAGATTTTTTATTTTTTCAAATCGAGAAAGACCATCCAACCCCCAAAATTCAGGAAAAATACCTTCTCCCAGTTTATTACTTTACAAATTTCATTTTATAAAGTTGTTGTCTAGTTTTAAGAAAAATAAGATAAAGTTTTTATTCAAATGAAGTGAAATTGAGTATTCAAAATAAAATCAATTCATTTCCTAGTAAATTAATTAAGAGTTAACAGCATCATTAAAACATTGGATAAAATTTTATTTTTGATTTAGTATTGATATATCAACTAGTAAGTGAAGTAAAACATAGCTAGGTTTTGTGTAACAAATTCTATGTCAGTAATTTGTTTTTCAATAGAAAATGTACAGATGAAAAAATTACCCTCTAAAAAAATAAACAAATTAGAGTCAGGTATATTTTAGCAACACCCTGTAGTGTGATCTATTTTTAACTAGAGTGTGACCTACATTATAACTGTATCTTTTAATGACCAAAGCAGCATTAGAAGATGGCTACTGGGTATTTTAGCAACTTTAATTACAATGTTTTGCATTCAGTAATAAACATCAATGGTCTTTTATCAAGTTGTAATTTTTACAACATAATTATACAACCTCATGTTGATTCCTACGAAGCCTACCGCTGTGAAAATTTATTGCATTGGCGTTGTTATCTCAATTTCTTTTCATTCTAAGCAATTATATGAAACATGATAAAAACAATTTTGCAAATAATATTTAATTTGAAGAATTTTAAAACACAGAAGATTTAAAAATTGATTGGGAGGGACGGAAGGGGGTGAAATATCGGGAGAGACGGAGACTTTGTCTCCCGCCAGAAGAATCACATGTATGGGATGCTTTTTGAACACTTTTAAGCAAAGATGTATTTCCATTGTTTAGGCCTAACTGTATACCACATTATGTGTGGTAAGGCATGGATAAGTACATGTATGATTACTTTACATTGTTCTGAATTCTTACCAATCGATTATCATGTTAACCAGAACTGGTCTTCTTTGTTATTTCATTCAAGAAGTAACTGTTTGGTCCCAAATAAAATGTTGTATGTAGCCCCATGTAAAACTTTTAGAACTTTGATTGCAACTGCACTGAAGTGAAAGAGACACATCTTCAAGATGTTCATAAATTGCTCTCAGATCAGTACATTGAATACTTGGTTCCATTTCATATCACACTTGATACTTATCTTATGAAACACATGAATTAAGCAGTGTGTAATATTTTCTTCCAGCAAAAAAAGACTTTTACCAGTAGTATCCCCAACACAGAAAGCTAATGCTATCAGAGCCTTCATTAGAGAAGAAACTAATGTAAAAATTCTACAGAATCCTTATTTAACAATGGTAAGTATTACTCAGAAAAAAATTATAGTCTCTGTTCTGTTGTTATTAATGATGACAGATAATCCAAATTGAATGAAGCTTGTCATTATTTTTCAGCACAAATCTAACATGATTCACTTCTCTTAAATTCTAAAGAATTAAATGAATATAACATAAATATTTTAAAGACATTTGATACATTAAATTTTTCCCATGTCCTCCTTTTTTGGGTGGGGGGAGGGGGATATTGCAGTTCTTACATTTTCTAGTCAACTGAGTTCATGGAAGCAACACATATTTCACAGTAATTTTTTTTTTTAAAGAAATTGATATATGAATTCAAAATTCATCTTCATTAGGTATAACATATTCATAGAATGATATAATTTTTCAAAAATTAGAGAAAATGGGATGTATACTGTATTTTAAAAACCAAGTTATATATCACTCTCTACCTTGATTTTTTTTTTTTTTTTTTTTTTTGAGAATTTATGATGTATTCATTTATAAATTGCAGGAGGAGGAACATGGTTACATGAAAGAATTAGGAAAACCCCATGAGAAGTTTCAAAAAATGATGGAGGAAAAGAAACAAAAGAAATGGCCAAAGGATGTTTCAATGAAAGACTATTTAGAACATTTAAATGTGACAAAGAGCTGGGAGTGATAATCTTTTATATTGTATTTAGTGTGTACAGTATTTGATTTTTATGAATACTGTATAAATTTGTAAATTAAAGATGTAACTGTAAATGTCCTTGTCTGTTTTTATTTGAAATTTTAACTTTTTTGTATGGGTACACATTCAATTTAAGCTGTTTATAATCATGTGCATCTTTGAAATACAAGTATTTTAAACTTCTTCATAGAGCTAATAAAAAAAAGTAATTGCTAGAGAAGAAGTTGTATTGTGACCTACCATGCATTTAATTGATCAAAAATTCGACAGATGAAATTGGTTTGGGGGAATTCAATGATAACTCGCAGACTCTTATAGACCTTTATAAGTATTTGATTTATCTGAGATGCCTATTTGTTTATGGTTTAAGACATGTAGACGAGAATATTTAATGCAAAATGCCTGGATCTTCAATTATTGTCTGTACTTCTTGTGTTACAGTAAATTATTTTGCAGTGAATGGATATAATTAAAAAAAATGATAAAATTTATATTAAATATTTGCTCTTAATTAATACAAGATGTATAAATTTATTTAAAATCAGCAATTAGTAATTTTTGTAAGCATAGCATCTCCACACAGAAAAATGATTTTGCTTCTGTATTGTATTTAACCTGTACATAATGCATGTTCTAAGTTATATTATGCGTGAACAATTTAATGTATGTATGTTTAAGTGGTAGAATACATTTCTACAGGGACAGACCCATGAATTTCAGTGGAAGGAGACGGATGCAAATTTTTTTAGAGACAGAGGGGCTGGGGTTGGATCCAAGTAGGTCCAGGGAAAATCCCCTGGCGGGGTTCAGGGGTGAAGCCCCCCGATGCTCCTGAATTAAAGAAATTTTAAGAATAAAATGAAACCTATATAAATATCCTCCGTAGTCATTGTTATAGAGGGCAGATGCTACTTTGAATTCCCTGATGTGTCTAGGAGGCGAAGCCCCCAGAAACTCCTAAATTGTAGAGAATTTAACTGTAAATGTAACCTAATAATTGGCCTCTACAGGCGAAAATGTAGACACAATGGGGCAGGTGCCCCCTTCCCCTTTTAAACATTTTAATATAAATATGAAGCTAAGCAAATTTTGTCATCAGAAATTTTTTAAGGGCCTTGTTAAGCACATTTTCTTGTAATTGGGCTATGATTTGACCCCCCCCCTTTTCCCATTCCTCACATCATGATTGCTTGGAAGGACACCTTTAACATTAATATCTGACATCTGGACCATTTAGTCAAGTGTTCTGGTCCTGGTCAGGGCTTTATTAATTTGTATTCTATGGAGCAAAATTATTCCCTTTTGTGATTAATCACCTTTGATAATTAATGACTGTAAGTAATAAAAACAATGTTGTTACCTGCTTTGTCAGTTGGGACCAGTACATGAACGTAATTTGCTTTCACATACACTATTGTGTCTTCTATTTCAAGCTGTCTTCTTGTTTTTATAAAAATCAGTTGCATACATATACATTTGTATTTTAAGGAAATTTTAGCTTAAAAAACAACAAACAAAAACAATGTACACCCTAAAAGATTTTAAGTCAAAAAGACTTTGCTGTGCAAATGATGAGGTATATATGAAAAAATAATTCAGTCATAATTCATTTTCAGTATTGAGCCGTGATTTGAAACACCCCCCCCCCCCCCATTTCCCGTTCCTCTCATCATGAATTCTTGGAAGGATGTCTTTAACATCAATATCTTATTCCTTTTTCTGTAAAAATCAGTAGATTTGTATATATTTTGAGGAAATTTTAGCCCAAAAAGAATTAATAAATGAATAACAATAAACAAGCAAACGAACAAAAACAGAAAATGAACAGGCAAAAAGATTTTAAGAGTCAAAAAGACTTTGCTGTGCAAATGATGTATGAAAAAATAATTCAGTCATAAATCATTTTCAGTACATGTATCTTTAAATCTCATAAAACTATGTGAAACTGTCGTCAAAAAAAGTTTAATTATATATATATAACGTGTCTCACTAGTATGAATAACATAATACAGGTTATAATAAAAACCTTTAACATGGCAGTTTCATATAAATATGAATTTTAAATATACTAAAAATAATTTATGAACTTACTGATTTATTTCTGTGGAGCAAATAATGACAACATCATTACTTAAATGTCTTGAAAATTTTTGGTACAGAATACTAATTTGATTGCCCATTTTAGAATATTAGAGAACTTTTTCAGAAGAGCCAGGGACTTACATACTTAGTACTATATACCTATATACTCAGTACTAGTATATAAACAAGCTGGTGGAAAGATGAAAATAAATATTAAATGTAGCACACTACATTTATAAATGTTCTCAAAGAACTATATATGGTTTCCTTCATATTTTGCCCCCGTTATTGTTAAAATTTAAACGCCAATGAACCTAAATGAAATTGATATTGTTTGAAAGAATAGAATTTATATTTTTCTTTTATCGTTATATTGATATATTAACTCAAGTAATATGCAGGGAATTATAGGTTCAAAGTACCTTAGTTTACAAGAAAACGTCAAAAAGTGGCATTTTTGACACCGTTAGTGGCGATTTTATATATGTGCGACGCCTTGAACAAGCAAGATATTTGCACATGTAAAAGATATTTTCAAAGAATGTCTATATGCAAAAAATTAATCTTGTTCAAAAAGTCGCACATACTCAACCAGTTAAAAAACCTTGATTTAAAATTTGCATTTCTGACTAGATATCGTATGACGTCACAACCATGCACGGATCGAAAGACGATGTTGGCATAATTTTTTATTCGAAGTAGCGTCGTCTATAATTGCTTCATCCATGTATACCAACATAAATATCCTGAACATTAATAACTATCTGTTCTTGAAAAATTTTTGTGAGGAAGAATATTTTTTTTTATCGCGATCTTTATTTCAAGATACATGTACAAAGATCTGTTGATGTGTATACGGGTGCGGATCACAAGGATCACGAGGATAGAGTCTGATCTTCGAATCGCTTAACCCTTTGGTCTGCTGTATAAGAATATACTTCAAAGGAGAGGTATGTACAGTATACATTTTAAAATTATTATATCATTTACAAATACGATCATTGTGTATGTTAGAATGTTGTCATTTTTTTTTTATTTACAAGCAACAAATGTACGGCCAAACATACGTGTAAAAATGTCCTATTTTTTCCTAAAAATTAAATATTAATCAAGGAAGTTGGGGGTATTATTAATTAAAAAATCACTAAAGTAATATTTCTTTAAATCTTGAATACAAATAGGCAACAAAAATAATATAAATATTTCAATAATTTAATTTTAATGCATAAATTCTTTTTTTTTTCTTTTTTTACAAAAAATAAAATATAATCATTATGTTCTTAGTCAAAATTTTATTTTATTATGTGCTACAAAACAATAAACATACATCACATTTGAAAGTTCCAATTATTCATTAATTTCTTTTTCTTTCCTTGTTAATTTATTTATTAACTAACTTATAACACATACAGGTCAGGCAAGTAGTATCAGGAAGGACCTGCCTCCCCTTTTCTCCAAACACAATTTTTATTTTTATTTTAACATGTAAATCTCAGGTCTTTCTGGAAGCGCTCAATAGAACACATCTAATGATTTACCTCACCCATTGTTAGTTTTTTTTTTTTTTTGTTTTTTGTTTTGTTTTGTTTTGTTTTTTTTTTTTTTTAGTCCATTTAAAAAAAAATCATTTATTTATTTATTTTTTATATAGTCGTATATACTGTTTATTAAAGAATAGTTGGATAGACAGAGATGATCGTTCCTTTTCCAGACTCTACTGATAGGAAGTCTCCCTACATTTATTTGAGTGTTAATGAAAAAGGGTGTGTGTCATGGACACCTTCGTAACACAGTCAAGATTGTTTCACCGCTTGCTGGAAAAGCCCGAAAAGTTGCGATTAGAAATCTTCATTGACCATCACCCCCCACCCCGCTCCCCCAATTATTTTGTCGCAGTTAAGTCAAATTTTTCCATGGTTACACATTCTAATTTTTATCAAAGAAGCCGGAACCTAGGAAGTTATTTTTTTTTTTGACTGTGTCGGCTTGGTACAGTGGTTAGAGCATTTGCTCTGAAGTCGCAGAGTAAAGGGATCTTTACGTCGCGGGTTCGAATCTTACTGCGGAATTGGAAACGGATGAGACCACAGAAACCGAGGACCCGTTTCGCAGTAGGTGCTTGCACAAAATAGAACCATCACTGCTAAAAGGCCGTAAGTGCCGAGTACTAAATTTTTAGCCCTCCAACGACAAGTAGTGGCATCGCAATATTCATGAATGAAAAATTATCGAAAGCGACAATAAACATACATTTATTGAATTTGTATATCTCTTATCTCTTTTTACAAAATATTGTACGAAATACTTACACGATCACCCGATACCTGGTGCAATCACACATTCAAAATTTCCTATAAAAATGGGTAGTTCAACAAAAGAAAGGCAAAATTATTATCTTTTATACCAGTTTTGTTGTATCAGATTCTTTATTATGTCTTCTTTTTTTCCAGATGGCAAAAAGGAGTTATGAGCTTATGCCATCGGCGATGCAAGCTGAACTCGAGGTACAATACGCCAGGCAAACATGTTGAACAAGAGATTGTTCAGGCACCGAAATATATTACATCTCCAGCACAACACGATTGGTCAACCATAGACAAAGTTTGGTTTTCTCGACCATTTAACTAGGATAACATTCAGTAGCCCAAAGTCTATTTCTCTGAAAAATCGTCCACTCCTACTGGTGCTCAAGAAGTGTCACACATGCCTGAGGGACACGCCAGTTGTTGATATCCAGCTCTGTTAGCCTCTGAGAACCAATTCACACTTACTGATATAACCAAAGAACAATTTAAAGATATTATGAATTCTTTGCTACCCTTCATTCGAAAGTGAGATCCGTAAGAACTCTACATGAAAATGCGCACAAGCCTTTAAAAAGTGTTCTATGTATTACTTAAAATAGAAGAGGTGAAATACATATTACAACAAATATATGTATTTTAAATGACTTTTGACTTCTTATTTCTGCACCTCAAATATGACCATACTA